CGGAAAAAAAAAAAAAAAAAAAAAAAAAAAAAAAAAAAAAAAAGAAACAGAAAAAAGATCAGAGGAGAGAACCAGACATGACTGAGTACCAACTATAGAGCCAGGGACTCAAATCTAATACTTCAGAACCCAAATTGAGTGTTTTTCTTTTATATGCCAGTAGCATGGGCAGACTGAGTTTGAATCTTCTAGAATAAGGTACCAAGCAGTTGGAAATGTGGTCTGGAGCTAAGGAAAGTACTGTAGTGGGCTGGATGGTGGTGCCCAAAGATCAGGTCCTAATCACTTGAACCTGAGAGTGTTACTTTATACAGTAAGGTTTTTATAGATATGATTAAATTAAGAATCTTGAGATGAGGAGATTATCCTGGATTATTCAGGGGAGCCCTAAATGCCATCATAAGTATCCTTGTAAGAGAGAAGCAGGGGGAGATTAGACACACATAGAGAGGAGAAGGCAATGTGATCATAGAGCAGTGACTGGAGTGATGTGGCCATATGCCAAGGAACCCCGAGCTGCCAGAAGCTGAAACAGGCAAGGAAGGAATCTCCCCCAGAGCTTTCAAAGGGAGTATGGCACTGTTGACACTGAGATTTCAGCCTATCAATATTGATTTTGGACCTCTAGCCTCCACAACCAGGAGAGGATAAATTTCTGTTGTTTTAGGCCACCAAGTTTGTAGTAATTTGTTCTTGTGACAATAGAAAACTAATACAGGCACTTTAGGCTAGAACTATAAATTTGGGCATCATCAACATATAGCTAGCAGCTGAAGCTCTGTGAATGGGTGAGAACATTCAAGGAGAAACTAGAGTAAGAGAATCAGGGCTAGAACACTGGAGTTCACAGGTATTAAAGAGTTGACAGCTTCTAGTTAAAGGCGATGGAGTCAACAGGTATAGTTACCTCTACTACTCCTTACCAAAATGAAAATAAAGGGATTTTTTTCAAGATATAAATCCAAAACCCAAAGAAAATACAGAAGACATCATAACATAATACTTTAGAAGTAACTGACTTAGAAAATCCGTGAAAGCAGAATCCTAAACCAGGAGTGGGGAAAGCCGAGAAGTAACCTCATTTGCTCCAGGAATTCCCCCAAAAGGCAGAGAAATTAGTGGCACGAAGTCCCTCTGGAAGTGGGGGAAAGTCTAGGCTGAAAAAAAAACTGGTCACAAATTTGTTTAAAGGCAATGGGAGGGCCGAGCCCGTGGCGCACTCGGGAGAGTGCGGCGCTGGGAGTGCAGCAGCGCTCCCACCGCGGGTTCGGATCCTGTATATGGATGGCCGGTGCGCTCACTGGCTGAGCGCGGTGCGGCCAGTCTCAAAAAGGACAAAAAATAAAATAAAATAAAATAAAGGCAATGGGATCCCTGGCTCCTTCTCTAACTTTACGACAAAGCACTTGGCAGAAGACTGGAGGCTTATTCTCTGAAGGCAAAACAAAGGGTCTCTAGATTATTCAGACAAAAGGTATTGTGCTGAAAATGGAGGGATTAACTGAAGTTTACATTTTGAATGTTGAGAGACCCTATTTAGCTCCCAGAACTCCCAGGCTTACCCTATCCTTGCAGTAACCTAACCAGCCCGAGAGAGGAGACCTAAAGATTATGACATCAGGGTTTCCCAAGGAAAAGGCCCGGGCAGCTCCTTAGTGAAATCCACAGTTGAGAAGCTCCACTCATGCACAGAACTTCCCATGAGCCTCATCCTTAAGTATGAGAAGATAGCCAAGGACTGCTAAACATCTGAATAAAGCTTCCAAAATGAGAGAGATTTTAAAAAGCCTCATCCTTAAGTATGAGAAGATAGCGAAGGACTGCTAAACATCTGAATAAAGCTTCCAAAATGAGAGAGATTTTAAAAAGCCAAAAAACTTAAAGGAGACTATGAAGGAAAGTGAATACTTCAATAAAACTCTCCTCAGATTTTTAAAAAATTATATACATGAAATAAGTATGGAATAAAATGCTAGAAAATACAAACAGACAGAATGGAAAGAGCTCTTCCAAATTAAAAATATAAAAGCAGGGCCGGCCCATGGCTCACTCGGGAGAGTGTGGTGCTGATAACACCAAGGCCCCGGGTTCGGATCCCATATAGGGATGGCCAGTTAGCTCACCGGGTGAGCGTGGTGCTGACAATACCAAGTCAAGGGTTAAGATCCCCTTACCGGTCATCTTTTTAAAAATATATATATAAAAGCAGAAGTAAAACACTCAATAGAAGGGTTGAAATATAAAGTCAAGAAAGTCTGCCAGAAGTTAGTACCTAATGACAAAAAGATAAAAATTGTCAGGAGACTAAGAAAATTAGATGGATCTAGGATGACTAACATCTAAACGGAAGTTTTAGAAAGAGAAAATAGAGTAGAGGAAATAAATAATTCAACAAAATTCCCCTGACCTAAAGGACAAGTGCCCCTGGAAGCTGCCCTGTCCTTGACAGGCCCTCAAGTACATGCAGTGGAAAGTTCAGCCTGCCTGCGTCTCTCACCTCAGAAAAGCAGAAATGGCCTTCACTGCCTCGGTGGCCACCTCCAGTACAGGGCTGCTCACTGCCTCTTGGAGGGCACGGCCAGCATCTCTGCACATGGCTGAGGTTGTGAACAGCTTGATCTCCTCTGGCTGCCTGAGAAATGGTAGATGACAAATGCATGGGTGAATTCCTATCACTGACCCACCAGCAATAAAAGCTCACTTTTTCTTCTCCAGTCTGGCCCTACAGGCCTGACGTTCCACTACTTTGCTTACCGAGTCAAGATCTCAGCAAAGAGCAGCAGGCCCTGCCTGTGCAGCTCCGTGTTGTTCATCTTCAGGCTTCCCTGTAGGCTCCTTACCACCGCCTCAATCCCTGCCACAGGATGATAGGATAGGTGACCAGCTCTGAACAGCATGTATTGTCTGGAGGACCATCATGGTAGGACCTGACAAGGTTGAGCTGACTCATCTCTATCTTTCCAACACCCAGCACAAGCCATAGCATAGGCCCTGGCACTCCAGGCATTCAGTGAAAGCCTACTGACCTGGCCATGTCTTCTCCACTTGATACACTCCTATTCCTCCTTGAAGAATCAGGTCAAAATTCCACTTCCCCAGGAAGCCTTCCCTGTTCCTCTTCTGATCTCCCACAGCTCCTGTGCTTCCCTCTAGAAGAACTCTAATCAGCTTGTGTTAAAATTTTCCATTTACATCTCTTTTCCCTCCTGAGGGCAGGGACCACATTACATCTCTAAATCTCTAGGTCTCAGCGTGGTGTGATCTCCCACAGCTCCTGTGCTTCCCTCTAGAAGAACTCTAATCAGCTTGTGTTAAAATTTTCCATTTACATCTCTTTTCCCTCCTGAGGGCAGGGACCACATTACATCTCTAAATCTCTAGGTCTCAGCGTGGTGCCTGACATAGACTAGGAACATAGAATATAAAATGAATGATTGAATGTTCCCACTCTAAAAATCCAGATGTGATATATGTGATATAAAAAGTCCCAGACAAGGAAGGTGTCACCAGTATGGAAGGAGAAAAGACAGTTTCAAGAAACTTTGAAAGGAGGGCTGGCCGGTTAGCTCAGTTGGTTACAATGTGGCACTGATAACACCAAAGTGAGGGTTCAATCACTGTACTGGCCAGCCACCCCCCCAAAAAAAGAAAAAAAGAAAGAAACTTTAAAAGGATGAATCAGCAAAACATAGGGACTAACTAGATGAGTAGATGTCCAGGACATGGGAAAGGATTGAATCCAAGGCTGAGTAACACCCTTCAGAGTTGTTCTCAATGTGCAACAGGAATTAATTTAGTGGCTATTCCCTTGCTGAAGAATCTAAACATACATACTTCTGCTAATTAGTGAACAGAACCATTTGGACATAAATATGTGCATATGGAATCTGGTAATGAGTTTGGGCTGATGGAAATGTCCAGACCCAGCACTGTCCTCCAAGGTAGAGGCTATCCCCCATCACTGCTTCTGCTACCCAACTTTGAACTGCTGTCCACCCAACCCAGAGCTAGTATAGGACCCCCACTACCTACCGTATACCGTATGGCACTTGGAAAAGAAGAATGGCTCTTCTGCCAAGAGTATCAAACAGTTGTAGCTGGACCAGACGAGCACTTCACTGGAAGAGGAAAGATGCTCAAAGAGGAACTCTGGCAGAGGAGAGAAGGAATAAAAATAAATGACAACCATATGATCATTATCCCTTAACTGATGCTAGGGCCTTGGATTTATTCAGGATCTTACTTCTGTTACTTCATCTGTTCACATACCCTCTCCATGAGACATGATCATCAATTCATAGATAAACTTGGAAAGTGCCCTCAGGGTTATGGCCTAACCTCTTTTTAACTGATGGGGAAACTGAAAGTCAGAGAGAGTCACTGTTCATGGCAGAGGTGGGACTGGAACTTAGGCCTAATTCACAGGATGGGAAGCAGCGTGATGCAGAAAAAGGAGTCTGTAGACACTTAATTTTATATCTCTGCCAATGACTAGCCTTGTTTATTTGAACCAGTTATTTCCCTTCTCTGGGCCTCAGTTTCCTTACCTACAAAATAGGGAAGATGAGGATCTAAATGTGGTAACATTTGCAATGCACCTGTGGGCATATTTCCCAGCTCATAACAGGCCCTCAAGAAACATTAGTTCCCTTTGCCTTCCTGGTCCATGGGTTTTCCACCACCCCACACTAGGTTTTTATTCCTAGATGGTCAAATAAATGACAAAAATTAGTAACAAACTGTTGCAGGTCACACAAGAATTCTGTAACAAGAGGACTCAGACATTATGAGGCCTACTTCCCAGAGTCTGCCATGTACACTTGAACCTGTCACCACCCCATCCCTCCAGTCTGTGTCATCAAAGATCCCCCAACAGGGCTACTACTGCTGCTGTGACCCTCTGGTCTCCAGCCAAAATCTGGGATCCTTGGAGGAGAAAGTTAGAAGGGTCCCCTACCTGGGATATCAGCCTGGATGAAGGCCAGGGCATGCTTCGCTGGGGAGTGGACCAACACCGCAGTTATACAGTGGGCACTGGCAATCTGCAGGATCTCATCTCTAGAGAGGAGAAGCTGGAGAAACAAACAGCAAAAAGTGCCCCAGTCACATCACTGACAGGACCAGAGAAATTGGCCTGAGGGCCTCAGGGCAGAAGCCTAATTCATCTCTGATCCCTCCTGTACTACACAGTGCCAAGCATGAGGATGGCACCCAGGGAGTGCAGTTATGGATTATGGAAAGGCATCTCTCTGTGAACAGTAGCAGATAAGAAATAGAATGAAACTACACAATGTAAAATCTACTACTGGCACTCAAAGAACATTAAAACCCATCAAGAAGTGCTCAGACCTTCATTAACAAAAGTCCTTTCACAGCCCTCATCTGGTCTTGATGTCTGCAACAATCCTGTGACAAAACAAGGGAGGGTTCCACTATGATCCTCACTTTACTGAACGTACAGAAAAAAGTTAATGTATTAGTCCGCTTATGTTGCTTATAACAAAATACTTGAAACTGGGTGACTTATAAGAAAAATGGCATTTATTGCTTACAGTTTCTGAGGCTGGGAAGGCCAAAGTCCATCTGGTGGTGGTGAAAGTGATTCAAGGGTCTCACATTGTAAGATGGTGGAAGCAGAGAAAGCACAGAGAGAGAGACAGACTCTCTTCTTTTTAAAACCCTCAGAACCACACTCTGACCACCATTTTCAATCCATTCACTTCTGCACAGTCCTACAATCCAATCACCTCTTCAAGGCTCCACCCTTCAATTACCATAATAGGATTTCCCAACCTCTTAACAGTCACAGTGGGGGCTAAATTTCTAATACATAAAACTTAAGGGGGCTGGCCCGTGGCTCACTTGGGAGAGAGTAGTGCTGATAACACCAGGGCCACGAGTTCAGATCCCTATACAGGGATGGCCAGTTACTCACTTGGGAAAGCATGGTGCTGATAACACCAAGTCAAAGGTGAAGATCCCCTTACCAGTCATCCTTTAAAAAGAAAAAACTTGAACACAGTTCAAGCTTCAATGAGTTTTGGGGGGACATACATTCTGCTCCTGGCCCCCCAAAACTCATGTCCTATTCAGATGCAAATACATTCATTTCAACCCGAGTCTTAACTTGTTTCAACTCAAAATTCCAAAGTTCAAGTCCCATGTGTGAAATCAATATAAGTTATCTACTTCCAAGATACAATGGTGGGACAAGCATAGGGTACATATTTGTGGAGTACACTAAAATTTATAAAGCAAATGTATTTCACAGGGCCTAGTTTCCAAAGCCTGCAGTTTCAGGTTTAGCCTAACTTCTTAAAATTACATATAGAATGTTAACCTTGCAAAAGACAGGAAACTTTCCACAGACTAAAGCTTCTGATACAGATATAGAATTGTAACACAGCAAAATTGCTGGCTCAAAGGGTAGATGTCCTTGGTGCAGGTTAACCTTATTTAATTGTTATGTAAACATACTAAGGAAATTGCTGTAGGGAAAGAAGATGTTTGCTAAGAACAAGCTTTTGTTTGGTGGATTGACTTAACCTTTTGCAAACTGCATTATGGAATGTCACTTTGTTATTTCACTCATGTTACCAGCTTCTATTGTTAAACTATACTTAGCCATAACCCCACTTATGTTGCTTTTCTGTAACTTTCTGGCCTGGAGAATAAGACAGAACTCCAATTCAGTGTTAATTTCCAAAAGGAATGTCTCTCTCTTGAGGGTTCTGGGAGGTTAACCCCTTCAGGGTGTCTCGCTGCTCAGAGGAAATGGGCTTTGCGTCTCCATCACCCAGGGCAAAGAGGTGGCAGATCCATGTGACGACAAAGAGAGTGCAACACATATTCCCATTCCAAAAGGGAGAAATAGGCCTAAAGAAAGGGGTAACAGGTCCCAAACAAGTCCAAAACCCAGCAGGACAGGCATTAAATCTCAAAGCTGGCAAATCATGTACCTTGGCTCCATGTTCCACCTCCTCTGCATGCTGGTGTGGGGGTTGGGTCCCCAAGTCCTCAGGCAGCTCTGCTCCTATGGCTTTCCTGGTTGCAGGCCATACTTCAGCTCTCCCAGGATGGGGTTCGACTCTGGTAGCTCCACAGGTCTGGGGTCTCCATGGCAGTCCTGCTCTCACAGTTCTACTAGACATGGCACTGATGGGGTTTCTCTGCTGCAACTCCAACCCCACATTTCCACTTGGCATTGCTCTAGCAAAGGTTGTTTTTGGTGAATCTGCCCCTGTGACAGATCTCTTCCTGGGCCCCCAGACTTTTCCGTACATCCTCTGAAATCAGGGTGGAGACTCCAAAGCCTCCCACAGCTCTATCATTCTGCAAGCCTGCAGACCTAACACCACGTGGATGCCACAAAGGCTTCCAGCTTGTATTTACCAAAGCTGCATGTCCAGCCACACCTGGGACCAATTTACCCACAGGTGGAATAGCTAAAGCAGCTCAGGTGCTGGTTCTAGAAGCAGTTTCCCGAGGTGGCCCTGGGCAGGGAGCCCTTGGAGGGCTCCTGAAGCCTGTTCCCCAAAACCATTCTGTCTCCCTAGGTCTTTGGGCCAGAAATGGAAGAGTTGGCCCCAGAGGGTTCTGCAATGCCTTCAGAGTCTTTTTCTCCTTCACTTGACAATCCCGTACTTTTGTGCTAATCTTAGCACCACTGAATTTCTCTTCTGAAAATTCTCTCTGCTTCTCTTCCACATGGCCACACTGAAAATTTTCCAAATCTTTAAACTCTGCTTGCCTTTTAAATTCTGGCTTTATGTCATGCCTTTGCCACCACAACTCAGAGTAGGCTGTTGCAAGTAGCTGTGCAGCTTCCTTAATGCTTTGCTGCTTAGAAATGTCTTCTGCTAAATACTCTGGTTCACAACTTCTAAGTTCCAGCTTCCATAGAGTCCTAGGGCATAGTGCAGCCAAGTTCTTTGCCAGTTCATAGCAAGGTTGATCTTTGCCCCAGCTTCCAATAAACTCCTTCTTATTCCTATCTGAGACCTCCTTAAAATGGTCTTTACAGTCCATGCCTCTATCAGCATTCTGCTCACCATCATGTAACCAGTCTCTGAGACATTCCAAACTTCTCCCTTGTCTTTTTGTCTTCTGACAAATCAAGGATTTTTCACACAACTGAGACACCTCCCCTATCAAAATTTTAGATCAGGCTACTCCTCTACTCAAAATACCTCAATGAATTTCCGTTGCACTCTGAATAAATCCAAACTTCTACAGGACACCATGGCTATTAGGAGTGCCTATACTACTTTCAGAAATTAAGCAAAGAGTTAACTGCAACCACAGATTTTAAATGTAGTAGAAACTAATCTTTTGGGGGCAAGTGCCCGGTAGAAAATACATCACCAGAAAAAGGAGAGCATGCCTGGTTTTAGAGCTTCAAAGGAAAAGGACCAAGTCACATTCATGTCTGCTAGAGATGCATCTAAGGACTGCAAGCTTAAACCCATCTTAGCCATATTGGACTTACAAATGGACATACAAACAGCCTTTCTGTTAGTATGTAAAGGAGTTTAGATTTTAATATTTATCTCACTCTCTTTTATAGAGGAAATGACATTGTATTTTATCTTAAGATGCCATTGATGTAAGATGAACCATTATTTATGTACCACTAGGAAAGAAAAAGTGCTGCTAATAAACTATGACACACGATTAATGGTAAAATGTCTCCCAATTTCCGAGCTCTTAAAATGCAGGAAAAAAATGTATCTTAGAATCAAAGAAATATGATATTTATCCATTAAGGACAATGATTCTTAGTTTAAAATGCATATTCCTGGGCCAGCCTGTGGCTCACATGGGAGAGTGTGGTGCTGATAACACCAAGGCCATGGGTTCAGATCCCTATATAGGGATGGCNCTGAAGCCTGTTCCCCAAAACCATTCTGTCTCCCTAGGTCTTTGGGCCAGAAATGGAAGAGTTGGCCCCAGAGGGTTCTGCAATGCCTTCAGAGTCTTTTTCTCCTTCACTTGACAATCCCGTACTTTTGTGCTAATCTTAGCACCACTGAATTTCTCTTCTGAAAATTCTCTCTGCTTCTCTTCCACATGGCCACACTGAAAATTTTCCAAATCTTTAAACTCTGCTTGCCTTTTAAATTCTGGCTTTATGTCATGCCTTTGCCACCACAACTCAGAGTAGGCTGTTGCAAGTAGCTGTGCAGCTTCCTTAATGCTTTGCTGCTTAGAAATGTCTTCTGCTAAATACTCTGGTTCACAACTTCTAAGTTCCAGCTTCCATAGAGTCCTAGGGCATAGTGCAGCCAAGTTCTTTGCCAGTTCATAGCAAGGTTGATCTTTGCCCCAGCTTCCAATAAACTCCTTCTTATTCCTATCTGAGACCTCCTTAAAATGGTCTTTACAGTCCATGCCTCTATCAGCATTCTGCTCACCATCATGTAACCAGTCTCTGAGACATTCCAAACTTCTCCCTTGTCTTTTTGTCTTCTGACAAATCAAGGATTTTTCACACAACTGAGACACCTCCCCTATCAAAATTTTAGATCAGGCTACTCCTCTACTCAAAATACCTCAATGAATTTCCGTTGCACTCTGAATAAATCCAAACTTCTACAGGACACCATGGCTATTAGGAGTGCCTATACTACTTTCAGAAATTAAGCAAAGAGTTAACTGCAACCACAGATTTTAAATGTAGTAGAAACTAATCTTTTGGGGGCAAGTGCCCGGTAGAAAATACATCACCAGAAAAAGGAGAGCATGCCTGGTTTTAGAGCTTCAAAGGAAAAGGACCAAGTCACATTCATGTCTGCTAGAGATGCATCTAAGGACTGCAAGCTTAAACCCATCTTAGCCATATTGGACTTACAAATGGACATACAAACAGCCTTTCTGTTAGTATGTAAAGGAGTTTAGATTTTAATATTTATCTCACTCTCTTTTATAGAGGAAATGACATTGTATTTTATCTTAAGATGCCATTGATGTAAGATGAACCATTATTTATGTACCACTAGGAAAGAAAAAGTGCTGCTAATAAACTATGACACACGATTAATGGTAAAATGTCTCCCAATTTCCGAGCTCTTAAAATGCAGGAAAAAAATGTATCTTAGAATCAAAGAAATATGATATTTATCCATTAAGGACAATGATTCTTAGTTTAAAATGCATATTCCTGGGCCAGCCTGTGGCTCACATGGGAGAGTGTGGTGCTGATAACACCAAGGCCATGGGTTCAGATCCCTATATAGGGATGGCCGGTTCGCTCACTTGGGAGAGCGTGGTGCTGACAACACCAAGTCAAGGGTTAAGATCCCCTTACCGGTCATCTTTTAATAAATAAATAAATAAATGCATATTCCTTATCATGAAAGAAACACTCCAACCCCATTTTTCAATCATAAAATTAATTATATACATTTTAAAAACCCTAATTGCTTACCAAGTCCTACCAGGGCTTGCCTGACTTGCCCTGCATAATCTCTAGCCTCATTTTGGGCCACTTCCCCTCACCTCCCACCCACTATCCAATCTTGATGTGTTTCTGGAACACATCAAGCCCTTCCCTTCCTCCAGCCTTTATCTGCTGTTCCTTCTATCTGAAAAGCTTTTCTGCCCATTCTTCATATCACTTCATATTAATTCTTCAAGTGTCAGCTCAAATGTCAGCTCTTCAGAGAGGCCCTCACCAACCACTCAACCTGTAAATAGCTTTGTCCACTACTATCTCATCTCTTTATTTTCTTCATAGCACTTATTACAATCTGTAATTACTTTGCTTGTTCATTTACTTAACTATCTGCCTTCTTCACTAGACTGTAAGCTCTGGGCAAGAAACTTGTCTGTTTACATACCACGGTATTCCCAGTGCCTAACATAGTGTGACTGATAACATCACATTAGTGCTGGTAGGTATTTGATGAAATGAACGAATCAACATTGCAACAGCAGGAATGCAAACATTGACAACGTATTCTGAGGGTCTTGAATTTTGGCAAAATAGGTTGATCACCAGCCCAAAGCAGGAAAGAATAGCATAGACTCTGGCAACTTAAAAAACTCCAGAATGAGGGCCAGCCCGAGGCTCACATGGGAGAGTGTGGTGCTGACAGCACCAGGTCAGGGGTTAAGATCCCCTTACTGGTCATCTTTAAAACAAAACAAAACAAAACAAAAACAAAACTCCAGAATGGAGGTATAAGGACACATGCCAATCTTATCTTTACTTAAAAATTTTATAGTTTGTTCATCATTGATCTTTTGCATTAATCTTGATTTTCTGAAATATTATTTATCTTGATTCCTGAGTTTTTTTAGCACACACTTAAATTTGTACCCAAGGCAAGTGCCTCACTTGCCTCCCCTAGTCCCGATCCCGCTGGTTTCTACAGTAAAATAAAACCCTGATCATCCAAAATTGTCAGTGGAAGAACAATCTCCACGTACGGGTGGAGGCCGGGACATCTAAACCAAGGTTCCTGTCTCTACAAAGCTCTCTCACCCTAGAGAAGCACTATTTAATCTCTGCCACTGCCCTCACCATGCTGCCTTGGTGCACTGTAAGGCCACAGGACCCTTTTTGTAAGTCCTTGTACCCCTGCTGGATCCAGGATCGAATGTGCTAACCACAAGTTAAACATGGACTCCAGGATGGCAGAAGAGAAATGAACATAGAAAGGTACCTGATATGAGATTTTCTGGTTCAGAGACACAGGACTTATTCTCCAGAGTTCATAGGCCTTGCCTGTATCATTCTAGAGACATCCCAGGGAAATGTGGAGGAGCTCTTGCTTTTTACCTATCCCAGCTGTGCCCTTCTCACTTCTGACCAGAACTCCTCCACCTTCCTGCAGAAGCCCCACAATCTGGTCAATCAACCCCTGCTACTACATGAGGATATGCAGCTCTGCCAGGCCCTGTACTGGGCATTGAGGAGAGAGACACCAGACTCAGGTCCTGCCCTGAAGAAGCTTCCAGTCAGTCAACTACAATGTGGTGAGATAAGCACTGTGACAGAAGGGCACATTCTTCCTAAAGGATCCAGGGTGACAGGGGAGCCCTATAAGCCTGAAGGCTGATTAACAAAGATCAACAAAGAGAGGAGAAAGGCTCTACAAGCAGAGGGAAAGAGCATCTGAACAGGCATAGAGACGGGATGACCTAGCAAGTGCAGGACCAGGGAGAAGTTGCATATGGCTGGGGTACTGGGTTGTGGGGCAGAAGAGACAAGTGAGGCAGAAAGGATGAGCAGGGTCCAGATAAAGAGGGCTTTGGGTACCAGGCTGAGCGGTTTATCCCTAAAGCAACTGAGGTGGCTTTATTTCTCTTGCTGTATTTATCGTTTTCTGTTTGTATCTACATTTTTAGGCAGCTCAGGTGTGAAGGGGAAGATGCAGAGATAAGAATTTACAACTGAAAAGAAAACTACTTTGAGTCTGAAACAGCCTGAATAAAAGTGATTCCATTTTGTCAAACCTTTAGATTTAAAAACTTGTTCTGGGCCAACCCGTGGCGCAGTCGGGAGAGTGCAGCACTGGGAGCGCAGCAGCGCTCCCGCCGAGGGTTCGGATCCTATATAGGAATGGCCAGTGCGCTCACTGGCTGAGCGCGGTGCTGCCGGCCACAAAAAAAGACAAAAAAAAAAAAAAAATACTTGTTCTCTCCTACAACTCAAACCATATAGCCTGCAGCTAATTGCCAGAACACAATGACTCTTGCTCACACATTGCACACAAAATAATTACAGAAAAATTATTAACCCAGTTGGCCATTCTTTATTAGCTTACTAACCTGATCTCATTTGAGCAAAACAGGAACTGAATCCATGGAGAACGAAGTATGATACTGGTCACCTCCCACCTGAGAAGTTCCTTGATGATTATCTGAAACACTCAAGTATATGTACATGTCCCCCTTGGTCACCATGAATCAGCGTTCCACCACAGACCCCTATAAAACCCTTTGACAAACCTGGGAGAGGCAGACATGGTCTTTGAGATATAAGTCTGCCATTTCCCCAGGCTGCTGGCTTCCTGATCAAAGGCTACCTTTCCTTACTCCGATTTTTTTTAATTGTAACAAAATTGATTGTACATATCTGTGGGGTACAGAGTTGAACA